GGACTTTCCTGCCCAGGCTGGCTTTGAACCAGGATACTCAGATCTCAGCCTCCTGAGTAGCTAGATTATAAGCATGAGCCACTGGCACCTGGCTATCTCTTGTTTTTATATGCTTAAGGTGGTTGTTCTACCACTTAAGCCACAACTCTACTTCTGGCTTTTTGCTGGTTAACTGGAGGTAAGATTTCTCTGCCCAGGCTGGCTTTGACCGTAGATCCTCAGATCTCAGTCCCCTGAGTAGCTAGTGTTACAGGTATGGGTTACCAGTACCTAGTTCTTTTTTATTTTTTTATGGTTTCACAGTTGGAATTCAATTTGTGCTCTAGTTCAGATTGGTTGCTTACTGCCAGCACTCTACCACTTCAGTCAGATCTTCTCCAGTCTGGCCTTTTGAAGATAGGAGTTTCTCTGACTTGTCTACTCAGTCCTCAAATCACTATCCTCAGATATCAGCTTCCTCAGTAGCTAGGATCACAGGTATCACCCTGTGTGATGACCAATGCTAATAAGAACTTACATAAATTGGGTTCAAGTACTTACCGTGTCTCCAATCTTCAGACCCTCACATTTCCTCTGGCCTGGGTAGGATACACCATCTTGGCAGGTAGCAGTGAAGAAGAGATTAAGGTCTTCTGGCTGGTCCCAGACAGACAGCTCCACTTTAGACCGGATACTCTGAACAGAGGGGGAAAATGAAGCCCAAATCAATCAGTAAAGACTACAGCTGAGGGGCTGGGAAGGTGGTTCAGTGGTAGAGCGCTTGCCTTGCATGCATGAAGCCCTGGGTTTGATTCCTTAGCACCACATAAGCAAAAAGAAAAAAGCAGGAAGTGGCACTGTGGCTCAAGTGGTAGAGCATTAGCCTTGAGCTGAAGAGCTGAGGGACAGCGGCCAGGCCCAGAGTTCAGGCCCCAAGACCGGACCTCCCCCCCCCAAAAAAAGACGACAGCTGAGGTATACCCCATATTGTCTTCTGATATTCATGTGGCTTCTAACTCAGAAGGCATAAGCCAAGGAAGAGCCAGGGGTATGGTCCCCTGCTGCTTCTCCATCTTCCTCTCCTCTCTCCTCCCACATACCATTTTGGCAGACCTGGCTCAAGATCTCTATAGGCTCAGACAGGCTGAAAGGGTGTATCTGCTAAAATTACACATTCTGCTTCTTCAAGGGGTTTTGCTCTGCCTTCTGCTTCTCATTTTTTTTATTGTAAAGATGCTGTACAGAGAGGTTACAGTTATGTGAGTAAGCTAATGAGTGCATTTCTTGTCAAACATTGTTACTGCCTCCTTTGTTTTTCTCCTACTATCTCTGCTTCTCATTTCTATCAACACCCACAGCCATGGCCACACTCCCCTCCCCCCCACATCCTTGCATACCCCAAATATGAGGGGGAAAAACAGGACAACATTCCTTTGTTCAGCGGCTCTTCTCTCTCCCCTCTGACTTCTTAACATCCTGCAAGGCCAGTTCAGTAGCTCATCTTTCCAGGAAAAACCCCATTACTCTTTACATGTAAGCCTGACCCCTATCAGGTGAGGTACACATTCACAATTTGAAACTACGTTATGTGAAAACTACATGTGGACTATGTTCTCAAAACATTGAATGAAACAAAAACAAAGTCAAAATGATCCACTGGAACAAGGAGAGGGAGAGGGGGAGAGGGGGGAAAGAAGGAAGAGAGAGAGAGAGAAGAAAGGGAGAGAGAAGGTGAGAGAGAGGGAGAAAGAGAGGGAGAGAGAGAGAGGGAGGAAAGGGAGAGAGAGAAGGTGAGAGAGGGAGAGAGAAGGAAAGAGAGAGAAAGAGAGGGGGAGGAGAGAATGCCATGTATTGGAAAGGATACAGAGCACCAGGGACTCTTTTGTTGTTGCTGTTGTTGGTCTTAGGGCTTGAACTCAGGATCTGGGTGTTCTCCCTGAGCTTTTGTGCTCAAGGTTAGTGCTCTATCACTTTGAGCCACAACACCACTTCTGGTTTTCTTTTGGTTAATTGGAGATAAAAATCTCACTGACTTTCCTGTCCTGCTGACTGAACCATGATCCTCAGATCTCAACCTTCTGAATAGACCAGGGACTTTTTTAAAAATATTTTTTAATTGAGATTAAGTGATTACATAAATTTCACAAATTTTACAGTATTGTGGGATGATGACAGTTAAAGTCACAAACACATTTTTAACCTTCACGAGGTGCATTGTCAGTATCGTTGTCTATAAAGCTTATGGTCTCTACAAACTTTGACACTATAGCTATTTCTTCCAAATCGGGTGCTATGTACATTTCTCTCCTTTTGATAAGTGTAAATTGTTCCCTCTTTGACCAGGGACTCTTAATTACTAATTGGGGTATAAGTGGGTCCAGTCCTGTAGCAAGATGGTATCTTCTGAGGCTTAGGCTAACTTTATACCTGGCACTCACTTGAGGATATGTGCAGCAGGAATGTATATGACACCAAAAGACATGGACGAGGATGCTATGGCCATCATAGTTTGTAATAGCTAGAGACTGGAAACTAACCAAAAGCCTATCAGTAGTGGGACAGATTTAAATTAAATTACAGTGTGTTGGCACATTTGAGCATCTTACAACAACCATGAACACAATACAACTTTATGCAATGCCAGTGATGAACATCACATTGCCCAAAGGAAGACAGACACAAAGGCTTATACATGTACTATTCTATTTACAGTTATAGAGACCCTTGAGTCCCAATGGACCACATGTACAATGGTAGTCCCAGAAGATTATAACAGAAATACATCCGGAGGATCATAAGCTTGAGGTCAGCTTGGACTATACAACAAGACTCTGTCTCACAATCATTTTCAATAATTCACAATAATTTTCCAAAATGCCCTTGAAATTTTCTAAGGAAGCTGATGCTTCATTTGAAGACTGGGGCCAAATGAAGTAATTGGCTTATTTCCTAGGGGGTCATATTTACTGCAACATTATTTAAACTCTGTTTATGCTAGACTTCCAGTTCAACTGGAGATACAAATACTGAGAGACACATGGACTCAAGCTCAGATTCCCACCACAGCCTAGCTATAGAAAACAGAAAAGTAGGCTGACTTGCCTCTTGCTTTCATAGGCTTTCTTTTCTCTCTTTTTTCTTTCTTTCTTTCTTTTTGCTGAGCATTTGGTGTTAAACATAAATGAAGGATGCACAGTGTTTTTTTTTTCCGCTAACAAATTAACAGCTTGTTGAAAATACTCTCTGCAAAAAAAAAAAGGTCTCTCTCGGCAACAAGTTGTCTAAGTGCTTCATCAACTCTAAAAATACTATCCCTCATATCCGCTTCCTCTTGAAAATGCCAGCCTTAACTGGTCAAAGGTCGCAGAAATGTCACTCGACACACACACACACAGCACTCTCCTACTGAATGTGATTAGTTATTTTCAGCTCTGTCTTCCGGCTGCATTGTGGATGCTATCATATATCTCTCTAGGACTTAGCACAAGCTCTTGTGGATGGAATAGATACATAGAAGGACATAAGTTTTAACAAATTAGGCTAATGGACTGAGATATAGTAGAAGGCCAATTTTTAAAAGAAGAGGTAAATTTTATTTATTTAAATTAGAAGATGGAGAGGACAATATGCCATAAAAGGGTTAGGTAGATTGGAGTTAGGTGAAAGATGGAGAATGGTGACTTGAAATATGAGGATCTACTGTCCAGGAACAAAAGAGGGAGAGCATGATACTTCCCCATGAGGACCAGGCAAAGCCACCACCTGAGAAGCATTCACAGAGGATATGGCTGGGTGAGAAAGAGCACTGGGGTAGAGGTGGGGATTCAATCCCACCTATTGCTAATGATAATAGGAGAAAAAGTGAATCCTATGCTCTACTCAGAGTGTCTGACATTCCACCTCCAGCCTGTTCTGACCTGAAGTTAGTGCTGTTATTTCTGTTCCCCACAGAGTTTCTGGAATCATAAACTCTCTACCTAGTACAAATGAGGCTCATTCACTTTAAACGTCTCATTAATTTACTTATTGGGCTGGTCCTGGGGTTTGAACTCAGGACCCAGACATTGTCTCTGAGGTTCTTCACCACTTGAACCACAGTGCAATTTCCAGCTTTTTTTGAGTAGTTTACTGAAGATACGAGTCTCATGGATTTTTTTCTGCCCAGGCTGGCCCTGAACTACAACCCTCTGATTTCAGCCTCCTGAGTAGCTAGGATTATAGGTGTGAACCACCAGCGCCTGGCTCAAACTTCTCATGAGAGCAGAAATCAAAGCTCAGCTGCCCAAGCAGGCAGGACAAGCAGCAGGCCTCTCCCTCCCCTCCAGGCCTCACTATAATCACTGTACGTGTGCACGCACTTCTTTCCTCAGAATGGGCTGTGACTTTAGAAAGTGCACTTCACCAAGTTGCATGCTGGCTATAATGGTCAGTCAAAAAGACCAAAAGACCACAAGCTCCTGGAGGGCAAGGCTGGCTCGTTCACTGCTCTATTGCCATGGCTAACAGCACATTAGATCTTTAGGATATACTTGTTGAATGAATGAAATGTAAGATAGAACAGAGGAAGGTACATCAGTTCTTATGCATGAAGACATTTATGCATGACTCTGAAATTCCAATAAATTCCTACCTGATTTGTCCCCGAAAATGTTATTTTTTTACCCCTCCCCCCATCCTAAGAAAAGGACCCGATGTCAACAATGCTAGACGTTTTTAAAGGCTATTCTATTACATCCCTGGTCAGGTTAGGTCACATCTGCAATTGCTCTAAGTTGGGCCAGCTGTGGAGCAGACTTTATGGCAACACCCAAAAGAGAAACATGTGCTCTGCAGAGGGAGCACACACCACAGGCTCTGACATCACCTTCCATATGCAAAGCCAGTGGCTTCCAGCTCATCCTGCTCCCTCCCACTTTGAAAAGAGGCCCCTGTGATTTCTGCCTGGGCCCTCCATCCCCTTGTCAATGCAAGGAGATGCTAGCATCTGTGTGCGTGGACCCAGACCCCTGAGTCTGAGCCCTGAAAGAAAAATCTCTCACTAGTACCTACGCTGGGTAAAGCTCCACCCAGCCAGACACCCTTGGGAGAATTTGGTAAGTTCTCAAACTGGAGAATCTGACACAGCAATAAAAAAAAAAAGTCTAAGTCCAGGAAGTTAACAATTCCACATGATGAAGGATATATAGAGAACAGACAAATTATACAAGATTTGAAGTCACACAGTCTCTTTCCATGTGCTCCCTCCTCAGCTGCGCCAAATACCACAGCCATTTCAACTGTTACACATTCTCCAACCAACCACAAATCTTTCCAGAATATTCTCCTGGTTCCACTGCCAGCACTCCAAGGGAGGTAAGACATCAACACCCACATTTAGTCATGTGTTTGTTGCATGACTCATAGGAAATCTACCAAGAAACCACTCTAACTGGAAGGTAATCGGAATGCAGAGCTGTGAGGGATGCAGGCCAGGTAGCAGGTAGAAGGTTAACCAGGGCCACTTCTGCTGGCAAAGCTCACCTTGCTCAGCAGAGGCCCATGTAGGCCTGAAGCCAGGAAAAGTGTAAGAAATTTGAAACCCAGAGCTCAGATCATCATCATCTATCACCTCCTTATCCCCTCTCTTTTCCCTCCCCGCTTCCCTTCTCTTCTCCTCTTCTTCTTCCTCTTCTTCCCTCCTCCTCCTCCTCCTCCTCTTTTTCTTTTATGATGCTAGTCCAAGAACTTGAACTCAGGGACAGGGCACTGTCGCTGAGCCTTTTTGCTCAAGGCTAGCACTCTTATCATTTGAGCCACAGCCTCATTTCTGGCTTTTGGTGGTTAATTGGAGATACGAGCTCATGGATTTTCCTGTCTGGGGTGGCTTTGAACCATGATCCTCAGATCTCAGCTTCCCAATCTCAGCTAGGATTACAGGTCTGAACCACTGCTGCCAGCTACAATTTAAATCTTTATGTTTTGTTGTACATTCATCAAGCCTGAATAAGGCTTTTTTAAAAAATAAACCTCTTCCCACTAAATCTGAATACTTAGTGTTGATAATGACCTAATAATCCTGCAAATATTTTCAAGGTATAGTTCCCAATGCTCATTCATAAATCATACAGTTACTTTCCTAACATGTTCTCTACAGAAACCAGTTTGACTTATAGAGTCAAGTACTAGTATTAGAGCCTCACAATTTCTCAGGAGATTCACCCCAGATTCTTAACATAATACAGCTCCCACCTGGTGAAAGATCACTTTCTCCACTCATCCTAGATCCCAACTCCTCAATGGCAGAGAGAGTTCATCACTCTTCTCCTGTTCCCTGACCCCCAAAGTCCTTGGATTTCCTGCTCAAGGCTAAGGCCATGAATCTCGGAGAAAGACCACTTCTAAGCATTTATGAGATCCCATTGGGCTTTGGTTTAGACTGGTCCCACACATGAGCACAGATAAACAGGACCACCAGGTCACACAGAATGCCAATGAGCAGAGTTGCCCTATTTCTAGCAAATACATCGAGCCAGCTCTGTGGAGCTGGGTGTCATTATACCTTTATACTCTTTATCATAATGGTCCTGGGGTCTCCCACAGAGGACTGGCAGGGCCTGAAGCAGGAACTGGCTGAGGATAGACATGCTGGAAAACGGCTCCTGTGGAAGCCGAGGACCTCCTCACATAGGACCCAGCATAGCCCAGATGAGACCGCTCCTCAGCCATGTCTTCCCCAAAGACCTGACTCAGCAGGAGACATGGCATGGCCATCCCTGCCAGTGAGAGCAGGTGCGGCAGCAACCTGCCTCAACCCCTCTGACTCTATGGGGATGCTGGGCTATGAGCTCCTCAGAAGGAGGGGTACACAGTACTAGGCAGGGGGTGGGAGGACAGCTTTCTCACTGATTCCTTTAAGTTCAGTGCCCAGAGCTTGAACCCCAAGAGGCTTACAGTAAGTATGGAGGAAGCAGCCCTCAGGACAAGGCAACCGTGGCAGGCCTGACCCCCTCAAACACACACGTCTCAAACCCAAACCCCCTTCTCAGATGGCCCCCTTATAACCAAGCATAATGGCTGAGACCTAAACCAAATTCCTTACAGAAGAGTCAGAAAACCACTGAAGTAAAAGCTAATTTGGAAATTCTGTCTCACTGAGCGTAGGGCTCTGAGGTGGCCATTGGATCTGGTGAGAATTTAAAGATCAGAGGATCTTCGGGTTGGGGGAAGTGGGGGAGAAAGAGTAGGAAAGGAGAAAGAAGGTACTTGTTTCTCTCAGCAGAAAATTCCAGAAAGAAATGAGGAGTATCAGCATTCGTGAGAGGAGGGGCTGACCAACAACAGAAGATAGGGGTAAATATGGAACTGAGAGAGAGGGGCAAACTTGCCTCCCTACACTCACTCCATCTCTTTGCCCTTAAGACACAAAGACTCAGAGAGATGGAGTACAGGGCTCACCACACCCTAGGCTTTAGGGTTTCCCCAAAGTGAAGGTGATAAAACAGCCTAATCCACAAACCCAGTTCTCTGCCTACCCAACCTTACAATCGCACCCAGAGCGTCGCTGGAAGAGGGCAGGAAAGAGAAAGCAGTAGGTGACAAAGCCAATGACTTACACTGTATGCATTGATAATCAGTTGAATGATATTTTTGGAGTCTCCATGTAAAATCTCCACTGTGGTTCCAGGTATCAGAGCGGTAAAATTCTTGAAGAAAAAAAAAAAAAAAAGGTAAGAAACTGGTCCATGTTGCCTTCCATTCTACCAAAACGAACTCTGTGGTCTATGAATGAGAAGCCTAAGGGCCAGCACTATATTGTACCACCCTCTGGGGTGGCACCCCATGGGAGAAGATGGCTCCAGGAGAGGCGAGAAGAACTGGTATGAGGCAGAGCTGTCGCAGCGGGCCCCGGAACACCCAGCCCTCGTGAATGGGAGAGTACAGTTGGCAAGACTTGTCCCCACGTGGAAAGCCCTAAGGAACACATCTCCTCGGGTGTGCAATGGACATCTTCTCACAGTCCATCCTCTAAGGTGCACTCATTGCCCTGGGTGATTTTCTAGACATCATTCTACGTAATCCCAGATCCAGCTACAGGACAACTCAGACTGTCCTCCAGGAGCAGGGACTACCTTCTCAGAGGTCTTCTGTATACCCCTCTTGAGATAGGACCTCTGGATACTGCCAAGCAGTCCTGGGACAAGCAAGCAGCCTTGAAGTACAGCCTGTCTCCCTCCATTAATGCAGCTTCTAAGCCAGGCTATAGACAGGGCCAGAAGCAGTCACTGTCCTCAGCCTGCCTGGCCTGCCTGGGCCCCTCCCAAGCCAGAGGCATATGGGTTTGAAGATGGATGGCTAAAGCCAAGAAGGACTGCCCTCATGAAATTTCTGGAAACCCGTCATGACGTGTGTAATTGGTTTCTCTAAAAATGTAGTTTGCAAAATGTTTGATGAGCTTTAGCCTAACATGTTCCACCAAACAAAGAGAAGAGAGCCAATTTGTCTCCATTTTCCTCAGGTCAAATGGATCAAGAACTCAGGAGGACGTGAGTTCACCAATGATGACCTTGGGTAGGAACCTCAGAAAACGTCAGACAAAGACTCTGTCTTTGGTGGACAGAGTCCCTACACTTGCAATGTAAAGCTTCACACTTAGCTCTGTGAGCCCTGTGATTGCCAGACAGCACGTTCACAGGGGAACCAAAGATGCTGGTCCACTGGGTGAAAAGTTACACGGAACAGACTCATACAGACCTTTCTATTCTTTAGGGCATTGGCTCTTTATTTGGGGTCTCTTGTCCCCAGCCACCCCTGGTTTCCCATCCTCTGTAACAAGACATTAACCTGGAATCTTGGATTCCCTGTGCAAATGCCCAGATGCCTCAGTTCCTTTCTTTGTATTTCATTAAAACTTTTCCTTCCCTATTAGAGTGTATCCCTGTGTTTTCATTTCACCATCTGAAATGGGAATTCATAGGCCTTTCAAGGGTTTTCTCACAACCAGATTAGATACCATGTGTTAGCTATGTGAACATTTAAGTTTTCTTAGTGTTCTTTTCTACTATAACCAGACAGTACAATCTCACTCTCCCACCCAGAGCAGGGATGTGAATAATCCTCACCTCCCACCACCCAGCTAGCCTCCCATTTATCTTAGCGGCCAGTCAACAGGGTCCCCACAATCTTCCACCAGCCTCCCTTTGTTCCTCCAGGCATACCTTGTAGAGCATATAGTGGTTTTTTGTCACAGCAAAGATGAGATTGATGTTATTCTCTGCCAACTTCTCTCCAAGAAGGGCAAGGGATGGGTAGTCCTAGGGCCAAGGCAAATATCAAGGATGTAACACTTCCAATACATTGAGATACTAGCACCTGCTCTAACACATGCCCACCTGCTCGGTACTTGCCAAGAAGAAGGTAAGATTTCTCTTAGGTGGCTTGGTAGATCCCTTCAATAATAACCAAACTCCATTAGCAGTTCCTGAACTAAGGGACTGTGTGGAAAGACCCTCACAGAAATGGCCCTCAAGTGCTTACCAGACACCCCAGAGTGAGGAATGAATACTGGGGCCTCTGGTCTACGTGTCTGTCCATTCAGCAAGGATGGGGAAATGAGGGCTCAGGGAGAATGGCGACCATATCCTACTACTGTCATCCAGCACCTGTTACCCCTCCTCTTTCCTATGGCTTTTATCCTATTCTCCTTTTCCTATACCAATGGTTTTCAGCTGTCAGTTTCTATCCCCTATTCCTGTTCATGGCTCAGAATGGGAAAAGGAGGCTGAAAATTGGACTGAAACCTGGACTGAAAATTGGGGCATGAACTGTGAGCAAGGAAGGAGAGAGGAGGTGGGAGGCAGCTTTCTGGGGTCCCTAAGGATTTTAAGGGCTACTGACTAGTTCAGGGGGTCACAGTCAGCTGAGGCCCAATAGCATGAGACCTTCCTCCAGACTCCCCCCTGGCTTGATGAGTTGAAAGCTAGAGACAATGTGGTTTTCCAGTAAAGAAAATTGAGAACTTCTCTTTGACTAGATACTGAATGAATTTGGGACAGAAGAGGATCTATATTCCTGATAAAGTTTGTTGAGTCAGTGTGGCAGGACTTTGGTAGTTGGTGAGGCTAGATGATAAGTATAGAGGAGGTCATGGACTGGTCTTTCTTTTTTAATTCAATGGTCACAGTCATGGACTAGTAGGAGTGAAAAGTTCCTGGGGCCTCCCACTCCTGCCATCCACACCTGATATAAAGGAGTCACTGCTTCAGGGAGCCACTACTGGGAGTCAGGAAGTCTTAGCCTGTAACAAGAGAGAGACAGAGAGAGAGACAGAGAGAGAGACAGAGAGAGAGTGTGTGTGTGTGTGTGTGTGTGACAGATAGACAGAGGGAGAGAAGGGGAGTGGGAGAGAGGGAGAAAGGGAGAAGGGGAGAGGGAGAGGGAGAAGAGAGGGAGAGAGAGAGAAATGTTCTAAGTCAACAAGGAGTTCTGGAAACCCAGCTGGAGAAGACAGAATAATGAAGAACGCTCATTCCCAAGAATGAAACCAAAAGTCAGTGAGTGCTGAGGGCCAAGAGAGGTGTCAGTGGAATGGACCAGATGTAGGGGTCACCACAGCCCAGCCAGGACCTCACCATCTGGTTGGATGCAGTGTATTCATTGGCCTCATTCAAGTGGCACTGGCCATCGTGGGGCTGCACCAGGCCTCCTAGTTTCCCATCCAGTGCGATGTGGGGCACATCATCTGTTGTGAACACCAGAAGGTGCAACGCATCTTTCCGCCAGCCAATCTTCTCCTGAAGGACAAAAGATGGGGGCGGGGGTGAGGGGTCAGCAGCATTCCTGCCCAGGTCTACACCAGGGGGCATCAGACAAGACCACAGCCGTCTCCAGTGCTCCATGTTTATAGAAGACACTTCTTCTCTGCCTTGTGTTCCTGGGGCCAATTCACTGAACACTGGAGAAAGTTTCCACAAAGTCCCAACAGTCCCCAGCCCAGACTGGGGAAGCCTGGATGTGCAGACACAAATCTCTGAGCCTGTCCTCACACAAGCTCCTGTGCCTGGATCCCTTCCTTCCCTGCTTCCTCTGCCATCCCTGTTCCTTTCAGCTACAACTCAGGGCCTGTTATTCCTCCCCCTACAACAACCTTGAGCCCACTCCAACTGCCACATCTCCTGATGTGACTGAGCTCAAGGAAGAGAATGGTTAAGTGTCAGGCATAACTCACTCCAGACACAGTTTTCAAGAGACTTGAAGCTGGAACCATCTTGCAAGGATTTGGTAGAGACTCTATTTCTGATTGACAACAAAACCCCTTTAGTGTCCAGTCCATCAGATCAACCTTGTTCTTCTTGCTTCATACTACGACTCTAATCCAGTCTATAGGCTGAGGCCCAGGTAAATACAATCTGTATTTTTCATATCCAATCACTATAGACCAAGCATTAGACAAGCCAGGCATTGGTGGCTCAAATCTGTAATCCTAACTACTTAGGAGGCTGAGATCTGAGGATTATGGTTTGAAACTAGCCTGGGTTAAGAAAGTCTGTGAGACTGTTATCTTCAATTAACCACTAGAGAACCAAAAGTGGAATTGTAGCTCAAAATAGTAAAAAGCTCTAGCCTTGAGCAAAAAAGCTCAGGGACAGTACCCAGGCCTTGAGTTCAAGACCCACGACTGATTAAAAAAAATTACACAAAAACATTCCCAGTAATTACTATTAAGAATAGGAGACACAGATACAGCGCAATAAAAACTAGGGTATGATATACCTTCTTACATATGTTGGCAATGAAAGAACTAAAAAAAGGATTTATTTACCTTCTTATTTTATTTGATGCTGATACTAGGGCTTGAACTCAGGGCCTCTCATTCTCCTTTAACTTTTTCGTTCAAGGCTAGAGCTCTACCACTTGAGCCACATCTCTATTTCTGGCTTCTTTGTTTTTTTTTGTCATTTGGCTTGAACTCTGGGCCTGGGCGCTGTCCCTGCACTCTTCAGCTCAAGGTGAATGCTCTACTACTTGAGCCACAGTGCCACTTCCAGCCTTCAGGTGGTTTGTTGAAGAGTCTCATGGACTTTCTTGCCCGGGCTGGCTTTGAACCTCAATCCTCAGATCTCAGCTTCCTCAGTAGCTAGGATTACAAGTATTAACTACCAGAGCCTGGCTCTGGCTTTTTGTTGATTAAGTGAAGAGTCTCATGGATTTGTCTGCCCAGCTGGCTTTGAACCAGGATCCTCAGATCTCAGACCCCTGAGCAGCTAGGATTACAAGCATAAGCCACCAGTACCTGGTTACAGGAAGGATTTAAACGGTGTTTGATGTGCATATTTGATACTGACTGAGGAGCTGGGTTCACAGGCCTTATAGATGAAAAGTTCTCACTCTCTTGATGGCAGGAGAGGGTATAAGGGCATCATTCTCTTGTACTCATCATCTCAGAGATGGCTATGGCAGCCTAACCAACTATGATATTTATCGCAGCTGCAGAATGGACAGAGGAAAAAAAATCAGAGCAACAAGGGAGAAAAATGGGGTTGACAAGAAGTCAATAAGGCCTGAAAACCCAGAAACCTACTGTGAGCATGGATCTTCATCTTTTAGGGAGTCAGTTTCCTAGAAAAACAACATTCACCCAATATACAACTAGTTATCTCCAACTGTATGCCAGGTTCCATGAAAGGTTAAGTATCTATAAAAAAAATTTTTTTTAGCCTGGTGCTGGTGGCTCACGCCTGTAATCCTAGTTACTCAGGAGGCTGAGATCTGAGGATCACAGCTCAAAGCCAGCCCAGGTAGGAAAGTCTGTGAGACTCTTATCTCCAATAAACCACCAGAAAAACAGAAGTGGTGCTGTGGCTCAAGCAGTAGAGTGCTCGCCTTGAGCTGAAGAGCACAGGGACAGCGCCCAGGCCCAGAGTTCAAGCCCCACGCCCGCCAAAAAAAAAATTTTTTTTTAAAGCATGAGTTAAAGAGCTCCCAGTCAAAGACAATGTTGAGGTAATGAGGTCAGGGAGGAAGTGATAGAGGACGCTGAGGCTTACACAAAACACGCATGAGGAAGATGCTCGGACGAAGTTGGAGGAAGGAAAGAACCAGTGCTCAGGGTCTGTGTCAGAGGTCTCCCCTTTGCTTTAGGTTCCTGTTTTCCTCCTAGAGAGGACACAGAAGAGGGGGAAGTTCTGGACACTGACAAATCACCGAAGAAAAAGGCATACAACAAGGTATGCACACATTAGAAATCTAGAATGAAAAACCAAGACGGTCCATACAAATAAGAAATGACAAAATTACTCATGGTGGAGCTCAACCCTAATTGAAATAATAACCTTAACCCTAACCCAGACCCTAACCAAAACCATGCCCAAACCCTAACCTTACCCCTAACCTGACTGCTAACCCAAATCCTCTAGTACCCCAATCCCTCATTCTATCCCTACCCTTAACAAAACCCTATCCCTAAACAAAATACTAACCCCTGCCCTATCCCTATTCCTAACCCAAACTGTACCTTATCCCAAACCTCTCCTATCCTAATTCTAACCCCTAAATCTATCATACCCTTAACCAAACCATACCACTAGCCCAAATAGTAACGCTACCCTAACTACTAACCAAAACCCTATTTCTAGCCTTATTCCTACACCTAACCCAAACACTAAACATAATCTTACCCTTAACCCTAACACTAACCCTAATCCTGATTTAATCCTAATCCTATACTGAATCCTAACTCTACCCATAACCCTACCCAACACACACACACACACACACACACACACACACACACGAGAGAGAGAGAGAGAGAGAGAGAGAGAGAGAGAGTATGGGTGCATAAACTAGCTACATTTTTCAACCATAATACAGCCATCTGCTAAACACTGTAGCCACTGTAGTAGAATACTAATTTCTCATTTGACCAAATGTATTAAGAAACTTAGAGAAAATCAGTGACCTAAATAAATGTGCAGAGATAACATTTTCATGAGTGGAAAGGTCAACAGTATTGAGATAACGCTTCTCTAAAGTTGATCTATAGATTTAACACATGAAAAAAATCACAGGAAAATCATTAGAAAAGCCACCTGGACAGAACATTTCAAATAGGAGGGAGGAGGCCATGAAGAGAGCAGGAAGCATGCAGGATTGCAGCTGCCGCCTAGGCAACTTCCACTCCTTGAACCCCAGACAACTGCAGACAATGAGCAGACAACTACATGTGAAAGGCTCAAAATCCTACCAGCCCCATCAAGATGGTCTGACTCCGGTTTCACTGACACTTCCTGTTTAGGCATTCCTTTTTGGCCTCCAGGCTCCAGGGCAAGAAGCGTAGATTACCATCTTATAGTTGATCAGATGCTCAGAGAAATAAAGTAACCAGCCCACCCAACAAGTAAGGGTAAGAGAAGGCAGACTGGCTGGCTAGAATGTTACCCCCAGAGCTAAACTACCCATTCACCAAGCACATAGTCATATAGGGAGAGGAAGCCGTGAGTGTACATCATAAGTGAGATAATTCAGCGGAGAGCTGGCACATGGCAGGTCCTCCACTCATGTCTGCTGGATGCAAAACCAATGTTTGTGGAATGGAAGGCTACATATGAAATGGAAAGAGCTCCACAAGTGAAGAGTGCCACAGCAGAATAGTAATCCCTGTTTTCTCTGAAGCGAGCTCTTGTTCTGCCAATGGTTGTCAACAGAGCAACAAACTTGGCCCAGAGGCTGAGCTGCTGGAAAGAGCCCAGACATGCTTATTCATTCACCCAGGCCTTCAGCTTGGAGAGCCCATGCGGTGACTTCATAGAGCTTTTACATTACACATAAATTCCCTACGGACTGCTGGAAGTGTTAGCCATTTTGAAGATTTTAAGTTCTGTATTCCGTGCTCGAACTAGGAGCAATAGTTGGAAAGGGATTTTCCCACTTTTTCTTTTTCTTTCTTTCTTTTTTTTGTGCCGGTCCTGGAGCTTGAACTCAAAGCCTGGGCTTTTCTGTTCAAGGCTAGCACTTTACACTTGAGTCACAGCTCTACTTCTGGCTTTTGGATGGTTAATTGGAGATAAAAGTCTCATGGACCATGCTGCCTGGGATAGCTTCAAACTGCAAGCCTCAGATCTCAGCTTCCTGAGTAGCCAGGATTACAAGTATAAGCCACCTATGCCTGGCTAATATTATTGTGTTTAAGACAGAGTTTTATAGCTCCAGCTGGCCTCGAACTCTGGATTGTCCTATCTTACCTTTGAGTACTGGGATTATAGATATGTGCTACCATACCTAGATTTTTTTTTCCTAAAGGAAGTAAAAATAACTCACCTACAAAACAGAACATACCTTGGAGGCCAGAGCCTATGAACTATAGAATAGATGATTCGGAGTTTAAACTTTGTCCCAACTGTGGAACCCTGAATCTGTGCCTCCCTTCTCACAGCCTGTCTTTTTCTTTGCAAAATGGCACTAAGCCCACTTTGCAGAGCTGGGACTAGGTTTTTAGACACAAGGTATTAAAAATTACTTGTCATATACAAGAAACTATAAATGGAATCTATAATCACCTTCAATGAGCAGGAAAACCTTTTATATTTTTTCTCTCCTTTTACGACTTGGTGTAGAGGCGATGCATTAGCTTAAGGAACAGGAATCCCTATGCTACAAACAGGTTAAAAGCTCTGAATTAATTAAAAACCACTGCAAGATGCTCTTACAGACTATTAAGCTAAAATTAAAAGGTCTTAACACTCTAAATGCAGGTGAAATCCATGGGCTGCTTATAGAAATGTAAGATGCCCAATAC